TGGGGTGCTGTGTCTGCCTTGTGCCCCACCGTCATGGAGAAACCACGCCCCGAATTTTCGTGCCCCGGGTCTCAGTTCAAAGCCCTCAGTTCCAGGACGCGGGCTGTAGCCCAGTTCAGTGGCGCGGGAATGGCGCCTTTTGCACTGCTCCCGTGCCTGGGCGCCTGGTTCCTGCTCACTCAGGGAGGGACCTTCACCTCAGTGAGGACCTCCGCGCGTCTCCCCGCAAGCCTAGGTCGTCTCCCCGCAAGCCTAGGTCGCAGGCGCGGGGACCTGGGCAGCCGCGATCCAGGTCTGCACTTGCTTTTCAAGCTCCCGGAGCGCGCTGCGTTTCCGCGCCAGCTTACCAGCAGCCCGGGCTGTGTGCGCGTCTCCCGGGGTCTTTGTTCTTCTCTAATGGCGCCAGGAGCCGTTCCCTCACCGCCGCGGCGGATCCTGCAGGGTTCGCCTCAGCTCCCGTTCACGGGGTGTGGTGGCTGCAATAGTTCCTTTCCGCTCACAGTCCCGCTTGCTGCCTCGTTTGTTCTTGTGGGCCGTTTTGGTTCGTTGTTTCCTCCTCTCTGCGGGTCGGAGAGTGCCGCCTCTGTGGGCGGGGGAGGGGAGCAGGGTTCTGCGCTTCCCTCCCTTCTCGTCCTCTTTTATGGCCACTTTCTTCTTCGGGCAGTTCGCTGGCGTCACCCGTTTATCTTCCGTGTCCCAGTTCTCACTGGGACCTGCCGCTTTTCCTCCCTATTCACTTTTTTTAATGGGAGATCTTACTCGCAGCGTCTCCTCGCCGCCATGTTCATACCCATCTCTTTTAAAAAGTTAAATATTCCATGTAACTTAAAGCATCATTGCAGTCTGATGTAATAAGTTGTTTATATCTTAGCTAGGGAACATATGTCATACACTAAAGAAACTAACAGTAAGACTTAAAAGGTGAATATGATTGAGCTTATTTTATATTTATTTATTTTGAAATAGCTGCAAGAATGTGTTCGTATTTAATCATTTAATAAAATGGACTGTTTTGTTATCAAATTTGTAAAATAACTAATACAACAAATTTAGTATTCAACAACGTCTTATTCCATGTGGCAATCCCAACAAAAGTAACAACATTTATTTGTTGGTATTATTCTCTTAAGAAAAAAAATTAATATTTTCTTTTGCTATTTTTTATAATTTAGCACATGAGTTTGTTATATATAGTAATGTTATTGTAGTGACCTAAATAATCTCATATTTGCTTCTGATGTTTTCTTTGTCAGTTTCCATTACCTAGTGTAGTTCTGTATGCTACACACCAGGAAAATAAAAGACTTTTTGGATTTGTTCTTCAGACTTCAGGAGGAAGAAGTGAAAGTAATCTGTCATCAGTCTGCTATATATTTGAATCAAACAATGAGGGGGAAAAGGTACATGACTTTTCAAAATGCATTTCTGTTGTGAAATACTTTCTATAGTCAAAATTCTTAAGAGTTCTGGGAAAAAAACTCCAAACTTTGCCTCATCCATCTGTGTTTCTTGACCAAAGCCTATTGCTCTAGAGTAAACTGTGCTGATGGGTTGGGCCTTCCAACTCTAAAAGACCTATATCTTCTTGACCACTGATAGCTAGTGCAATCTTCTGGTCTCAATTTGTCCTGGGAATGTAACATATTCCCATAAACAGCTGTTTTCAGATGTCTTCAGTTGAATACAGTTAGCAGCAGCTGATTGCTTCATTTATTGCAGACCTTACTATCTGAGTAATGAGTTTGACATAACAGGAAATGGGTCACGTGAAGAGGTAAGAACTGGCAGTGGAAACTCATAACCTATGAAGAAAATACACGAAGGCTTGGTTTTGGGGGCTGGAACAACATTCTTTTTTTTTAAATTAGGGTAACATCGGTTTATAACATTGTTTGTTTTAGGTATAGGATCTCCCCCATCACATGTTATCACACCACACCCACCACCATAGCACCCATAGTGCATAACCATAGTCAGTTGAGCTCACTCAACTGGTAGCCTCAGTTCTACAGATTTCTAGGGTTTGTTATTAGTTTGGCTTTATTTGACCCTTTGTTTCTCTATATTCCACATATAAGTGACAGATGTATTTGTCTCTCTCTTTCTGACTGACTTCACTCAACATAATCCTTTCCAGTTCCATCCATGTTGTTGTTTGCAAATGGCAAGAGTTTATCTTTAATAACGGAGTAGTATTTCATTGTGTATAAATATCACATCTTCTAGACCCACTCATCTGTCTTGGGCACTTAAGTTGTTTCCATAGCTTGGCTGTTGTAAATAGTGTTGCAGTAAACATAGGTGTGTGTACAGACCTTCAAATTAGTATTTTCATACTCTTCAGGGAGCTACTTAGGAGTGGAATTGCTAGGTTGTATGGTAGATCTATATTTAATATTTTCAGAAATCGCCATACTTTTCCCCATAGGGCTTGGACCAGTCTACATTTCCACCAAATGTATAAGAGGGTTGTTTTTTTCCCACATCCTCACCAGCCCTTTTTGTCACTGGTCTTTTTGATATGGGCAAGTCTCCCAGGTGTGAGATTATATGCAATTTTGATTTACATTTCCCTGATGGTAAGAACAATGAGTGTTTTTTCATGTGTCTGTTACCCATCTGTGTGTCTTCTTTGCAGACATACATTCTTTGCTTTCAGTGCAGCTTCCCAGTGCATCATCTGTATCATCTGGGTCTCTGTATCATCTGGGTTTCTGTATCTGCTGATCCCAGTGGATTTGGGTGGGGGTATCAGCCACACCTCTCTGAGCTTTGTGTTCTTCACTGGGGCCATGTCTGCCTTGTTCACCTCAGCAGTCTTGCCCAACTCTCCCACAGTTAGACCCACAGCAGGTCACTCCACCCAACCTCCCCTGGCACAGGTATCAACTCTAGTTCTACCCTGGTGGATATCTCTCCCCCACTCACCCTCCACTCATGCTTAGTATTGGGTATCCTCATCTTTTCTGTCACAGGTGGTCAGCATTGGTCTCTGAGGGTTGGCTGGAATATTCTTGAATCAGCTTTTGTTTGAAGCAGTGTAATACAATGAGTTATAAAACTAATTCCATCAGCCATTTGGATACTTGATATTTTTACTTTGACGTGAAAACTTCTTGTATTTTTCCTGCTTCTTCCCTTTTTAGATTTGTGATTCTGTTGGACTGGCAAAACAGATAGCTTTGCATGCAGAACTGGTAAGAATCCAAGAAACTTAATTATCGAAGATTGTAAAATAAAGTAATACAAGATCTTTCATATTAGAAGTAAATAATTTCATTAAGCAAGTTTAAAAGTGAATGCTATTGCTGATACAGCCTAAAGAATTTGGATGAAGGGGTAACAATGTATTTGTATGTGTGTGTGTGCTTTCTCATATAAATATAAAAAATAATTTGAAAGGGTTGCAAAAATAATATTTGAAAACTCTAAAATTGAAAGTGATTTTTTATTTATCTGTTCTTCAGGATCGTAGGGCATCAGAAAAACAAAAAGAAATAGAGAGAGTAAAAGAGAAGCAACAGAAAGAACTCAGTAAACAGAAACAAATTGAAAAGGTATGTAATCCTAATGTCTGGACCTTCATGTGATGTTTATGAAGAATTTTTTTAATTCAGCACTGTGAGTTTCAGATTTGAATTTCCAACTGAAGGTCTGTTTCTGCTTGCTCAGTCACTTCATAACCAAATGAGTCATAGCATAGCAGAAAAACATCATCTCTCTTCTGATGTTATTTGCATATAGTTATACTGACAGGTAGTATGACTTGCTGTTTGGTAAATATACTAGAACTTTTATATTCACATATTCCAGTGAAGGTTGTCTCCTTCAAAGCAGGTCATTTGTGAAGCTATGTAGACTTAACTGCCATTGCTCAGAGCTGTGTTGTGCTCTAGGGATACAAGTATCTATAAATGAAAAAATATTACTAGGTGCGTCAAACCATTGTCCATTGAACAGGAGAATTTTAAGCTAGACAAATTTCAGCATAAAATCTGAGGAATGCACATAGGTGATCCATGGGATTTTAAGAGGTATTAAACGTTGTGGCATTAGCAAGCAGCAACAGAAAAGAATAGATAACTATAGATATTTAATGAGAACAGATTAGCAACAATTGGCAATGGATTGGATGTATGGATAGAGCATTTCAAGGCTTCCTTGATAGGTTAGGCTGAGGGAAGGTGACAGCTGACTTGACAAGATGGAGAAAGGGGGCTAGAGGGTGGAAAGGGATGTGGAGTAGTTTCATTGTGAGTCTTTTACTGCAGTGTATACTGAAAGACAAGTGATGAATATGGTTTTTGTCATACAAATGGAAATGAGGAAAGTGTTGGCTTTCATAAGACTCTTCAAGAATGGCACCAGAATTCACTTTGTTGGATTTGTTGTTGTAGCCTTTCTTTTCAGTAAGTTGCCAGAACATGCATGCATATATCTGACACATACACATATATGACAGAAGCACTGAAGTAGCTCTCAAGGATGTATTTTAACTGCACAGCTTTCTATTTTATTTCCAACAGTTAACTTAGTTTCTTTTCTGTCTTTTCCACTAGGACTTAGAAGAGCAAAGTCGGTTGATAGCTGCTTCCAGTAGACCAAATCAAGCCAGTAGCGAGGGGCAGTTTGTTATCCTTAGCAGCAGCCAGTCAGAAGAGAGTGATTTGGGGGAAGAAGGAAAGAAGAGAGAGTCAGAAGCATAAACTTCTTGCAATTTGGTTAATATTTTCCCCCTTGGAATTTGTTGACAATTTCTGTGGTGAAATGGCACAAGGTAACAACTATGTTGAAATATCAAGAAGGAGACTAAAGTTTGTTTGTTTTAGCTTCATTTTTTTAAAGTAAGATTGACCTTGATGACTTAGGTTTGCATTATTTTTTCCTTAAAAATAATATACTATGCAGTAACATCAAATTACACATGTCTAAAAGAAACCTGTTCATCTTCCTGATATAGACTGCTAAGGAATTACACACTGGCTTTCTTTTTTTCCCTTTAATTGTGAACTTATCTTGCGTTGTAATTGGCTATGACCAATAAGAAATCATTTATTCAACTTCAGGTAATTCATGGTTATGCTTCCTTTCTCTTTCACTAGAATCATTTTGATGGCTGTGAGGAAACTTTCAGTTGAACAAGTTCAGAATCCTTTATACAGAGAATTCTACAAGTTTGCAAATATTTTAACAATATTAAATGTGCAATAGAACTTTTATAAAATAGAGATTTTAGACTTAAGGTTTCAAATTGTGATAGGTGGTACTGTTGACTTCAGGGCACTTTCTTGGATCGCTCACATTTTTCTGATGTTCTACACCTGATGCCAGTAGCAAAGAAGCTTAAGTGTCTTCAGGAAAGATGCTTAAGTGTCTTCAGTTCAAGATTGATACAGTGCTTGGTATTCTATTATCATATTCTTAGTTCTCAGGTTGGGACTTGAATTATTGCTGCAGAGCAGTAATGGTTAAAATAAGATTTTGGAACTTAATAAAAGGGATTTTTTTTTTTCTCTCAAATACATTTTACATTAGGATTTAACATGTAAAGATATTGTTACAGGATAATCATTGTATTTTCTGCATTGTGTGAAATAATTTTTATTGAAAATCAAGTGACATTTCAAAAAAGTTCTAAGCAATTATGTTTCCAGCTTGAAGTAAAAATTTCCAGAGTTTAGTTTAGAAAATATAATCTTTTAAATTTCAGACTGATACTCCCAATATTTTCATAATCCCATGTTTTGATAAAATACTGATCACTTCTTTATATCCATGAAAGCAAGTATCTGATAATAACAGAATAATTTGCACTAATCACTGTAAATACTGTATCTTCAAATGAGTAAAAGGTCTAATTCCATGAAAGATTTAAGAGAAATTAAATGCTTGTTATAGAAGAACTGACCTAGGAAGGAAGATTTTAGCTTGTTGCCAAGGGTAAAGTGATATTTCTCTACTGTCTACTTCTGTGTCAAAAATTGATTTTTTTCTTTCTTCAGATTTTTAACATTGCTGATAGAAATTATGTTCCTGTGTTTCACATGTGAAAGTATATGAAAATTAAATATATTGAGTAAAATATTTTAGTCATACATTAAAAAGAGATTAGCCACTAATACTAATTTTAAAAGGAAAAATTTTTTCCTTTGACATACAGTTTTTTCTTCTTAATTCTGAACTAGAAACAGCATTTGTTTTATTTCTCACAATATTGTGTGGCTGCCTCATACTGTTTGTATACTGTTTTCTGTAGGAATGAGATAAATAATTATATATAGAATCATGATATTCTTTTTATCCATGTGCCAAGTGGGAATAATGATTACTTGATAATCATTAATATGAAGCCTTATATTATGAAACATGTAGTAAAAATAGAAAATAGAAATTTTTTTTTCCTGAAAAAAAAAAAAAGTTTGTTTTGTCCTTACGAAAGGGAATGCTTGCAGAATAGTTAGTATATCATTCCTTTTATAGAGGCTGAAATTTCTTTTGTGGTCAGTACTTGACTAATCATGGCAAGTTCTGCTTTTTTAAGACCTTTTTGAGAGTTAGAAACTTTCAGAGTAAACTTTAAGTTTCATTAAATCTTTTGTTTATACTATTAAGTTGTTACCTCAGTTCTGATGAAAATTTTCACCTTACAAGAATTTAGGAAGCAGTTTTACTAGATTGGTGCTTTGTGTGGTAGTGAAGTACTGTTAGTACTGTTCTTTGATAGTACTCTGAGTCAGTGTAGGCAAGTGAAGGGTACTGGCATATTTAGGGATGCTGGACAGACTTACAGTTCTCTTTAAATCGTTTTGATAGGCGTTTCCACACCCATATCCATAGGTCAGCCTAAAAGTGCATTCCAATACCAAGTAGAAGTCTTGTGTGGGTTTAACAATTTTAGGTGATTCCATTACTTCTGTTATTATAGAACTATATTAACTATCCATTACTGAAGAGATCACCTTAAATAAACTTCTTTTTGTTTAAAGAAGGCTGCCCAGGGGTTTCTGCATAATGTTAAAACTTGTCTTTGTTATCCTTTAAAATCCCTTCTAGCTCTGGGATGCTTTGATGGTGATTGAGTTAGATTTTGGGATATATTTCTCAGATTCAAATTGAATGGTTTTTAGAAATGAACAAAATTGATTCTTTAAAGGGAAAGAGACTGAGTATGTAATTCTGCTATGCACTGTGCTACCGTGTGTGAGCAAGTACTTTTGTGATTATGGTAATGAAGTCAATAGAAAAAAAACTGTTCTCTTCTTTTAAAATTTTGAAGTTTTGAATATTTGCTAACAAAGAACTGAAATTGTTACCTTTAACAGAGGTCCCAGAACTAGTCTAGTTTTATCATGTCTACAAGATTACTTCGTATTTAATTTCAGTAGAATTTTCAGGCTCCATATGTGAGGGTGATAAGTGTATGTTATTTTTATGCTTGGGAAAGGATAGTAGGGTATACATAGCATTCTATGCAACATATAAAGGCATCTGAGTTAATTTTAAAAACTGAGTTATACCTAAGAATTACAAGTATTTTAGTTTTATTATACATGCTGATAGACCCTAAGAAAATATTGCAAAACCTCTGTCACCTGAATAATAAAATGAAAATGTTAACATTGTTTTTGATAACTTTCTAGCATTCAGACTCTACTTTAAATATTCAACACTCTTATTTGTAGCAAGCAAGGCCTTCATTTTATTTTTAACAAGTTTGGCTTACTCTTCATGAAATTTTGTTCTTCTACATTAATTAATACCTAAAGCTTGGAAACTGGAACTATATTATACTTTCTAACCAAATCTCCTGTGGCTGCATTCATATGTAATTTAGTTAATATGAGAATTGGGGGTTAAGTTATAATTAATGTGTAAAACTGCTTTGTATATTTGGTGATTTTGTAATGTAATTGAATTAATTCTTATTTCACTGATACTAATTAATCATGCATTATACAATTAATACTAAATTCCCCTTTAGAATTGGATTTGAAGAATTCAAATTTTTATGATAGTGGTGTACATGTTGGGGTGGAGAACTTACTTTCTCATCTGTCAAAATAAGTGTTCTCTAACAATGCTTCAGGAAATAATGCTGTTAGGAGATTTTTAATGTATAATAAAGTCCATGATTTTTGTATAGTCTTTTTTTATGAAATATTTGATATACTAAATTTTCTTTCTCGAGTAATTTCAAACAATGCTTATAAAGCAATTGGACTTTTTCCTAATCTGTTATGATACTATAATTATGCTTTACAATTTCATAACAGTTAAAATGGGAAGGAAATTGTCACTTATTGGAAACTAACACTGCTTTATCACTAGTGACTTGTTTTTTTCTTTTAGAAAAATAAAGAGATTTTTCAATAATTACCTTAGACATATTATAGACAATATGTTCTATGTTTGACTATATAAACAACCTATTCTATGTTTGGTCTTATGCAAAGAAATTCCTATAATTTAAAGGGGCAGTTTATTGTGTACACCAGTTTAAGGAGTTTGAGCCTGTAGTTTTAACAATAATGCATATTCATCCCATGTGCTATATATAGTTTACTATAGCACTTACCAAGTTCTTTTCCTCTGGGAATTTTTGTCCTAATTCATTTTGAATTTTATAAAATGTGTACACTTTTAGAAGTTCCAGAGAGCGGATGAAATTAATTTTAGAATTATACAACAAATGTATGTATATCCTAGATATAGGTATATTGACATGCATATTACCCACAACTCACTTATAAACAGATACCACAATTTAATTAAAAACAACTATACAAATTTCTGTGTATAAACAATCATTAATAATAATTTTAAGTTTATGTTTACTGAAATAGTCTGTATAGCTATGAATTGCTACATCAGAAAGAAATCCTATAACTTCATTTTCCCTAAGATGTTCTAAATTATGGTTAAAAAGTATATGCTAAGACTAAACATATAGATATCAAGACTATAACTAACTGGGTCTGTGGTAAAAATGGACTCTCATCCTACCTCGCTTTTCTCTCTGTTGATGTGCTGTCTAAATTGCTGCACAGATGTTGCTGAATGAATGTCTTCTCAGTTTTTTTCCTTTCTTTCCATATAGAGAAACTTGTACTTACATCCAGCATAGAATATATACAAATAAAAATTTGAACTAACATACTATAATTGCTTCCATCAGCAAGCTCTCCTGTGTATCCGGTAGCAGACTAGGTTTGGTACATAAATCATATGTCATTTGAAAACACTATTAATTTCTATACCAGTGATCACATTAACCTATGCTAGTGTTTTGTGGAAAGGGACACGTTTCCCACTAATGACGAAATTACAGTTGATTTCTATTTCAGTTAACTGAATTACCCCACATTGCAGTACCGGACTCTGCAAGTAAAGAGATACAATGCTGGCCTTGGGACTGTGATGCAAGAACAGCTAGCTTCTGGGTTATTTACTGTGTTCAGTATTTCATTCTATACAATCACCAAGACATTTTATATATTTACTTCTCTATGAGATTGATTACTATTGAGAATGATTTTGATTAATAAAGGTGGCATCTATTTTGAGAATGCAGAAATGTTGATTTGTATACCTAATGTCAGGTCAATACAGAGTTAGAACTGATATATTTCAGTTAATTGGAATTTTTACTGTCACCTATGAGAAGCTGTTCCATTTAGGGTGACTTTAAAGAACATAAAATACATTGGGGTTTCAGTTACTAGGTAAAGTTAGAAATATGAATCATATATGATAAGTCAAATTTTAAGAAATAAAAGCAGTAGAGTTATTACCTTCTTATCCAGAATAATCTTATTACCAAGTTCCCATGAGAATTCCTTGTTCATACAGGTCATATTCTTGGTAAAGTACATATGCTTTTAGACGATTGGGTAATGGAAGAAATGACAGGAAGACAGGGCAGCGCAAATGTAAACGTCCCATACACTTCCGGATCTTTAAGCGACACAAATGTTTTAAGGAACGAGGGTTTGCTAAAATGAAAGAAACAGATAGGTTATCCAAAAGGAAAAAAAAAATGCTTCATTTTTTAAGTGATCTTAGGGTTAAGATCATAGATAACATTTTATGTTTAAGCCACCAAAATTTTCATTTATTGTGACTAAATGGAAAATTTGGTAGAGAAACAGCTTTTCACTTCTTATCACAACTCTTCTTGTAGATAAGGACTCAAAGGCACATCTAGAATCCAAATACTAGTATCAGTTGCGGGTGTGGCCTGTGCATCTAAATTCCTTAAATCTACACGTAAAACTCCCTGTCCTGCCTCTCAGGGTCAGGCTAAAAACTAAGTATCATTACCCAGGGGAAAACTAGATGAAAGAAATTCTTTTTTAGTTTGACTTAGGTGCTACCAGGAAAGAATTTGTTTTTGTAGGATCATTTTATCTTCTGCAGGCCTAGATTTTAGCTTTATCTCACTCCTGTTTGTACTGCCATTATATAGCTTTTAATTCCCATATCTTCAGTGTTCCATAGAATCAGAAAATTATTACCTATATATTAATAAGAAGTAAAAAACCTACTGGGAAGTGGTAATAAGTACACATAAAGTGTAGTTTATACAGTAATATTTCTTAGATAGGAATAGTATTTTTCTTGGTTTCTTTAGACTAAACTTTTCAACAAGAAGAGGAGGATGTTCTATAAAACAAGTAAGAATACAATTAGTATTTTTGGTAAGAACAATCTACGAGCGATACTTACTCAAGATAAAGTGGATTTCTGACCAGAGCCCCTGTTTTTGGAGCACAGCTTTCAACTTTGAGCAGATTCGAACTTGATCAACATAATCAAGCATCACTCGGACAACCTTTCCAGAGAGATGTTGCAGCCATGACAAAGTTATTACTTCACAGAACTGAGGAAGAAAATCAGGACTATGAATGTAAAGGATTAAGTATGATTTAGCATCGTGATCAAAAGAGCACTGGCCTCAGAGTTAGGAAGCAAGGTTTCAAGTCTCCAAGACTTTCAGCAAGAAAATATTTCTTAGCTTTCAGCATGTGAAAAATACTGTGTCTGCAGAACTGTATAATATAATGAGGGTGTGAAAGAGACTGAGTTATATACCTGTTATCATCCTTTAATTGGCCACATAGTTTTCTGGAATAAGGATTGCCTTTCCAGCTTCACTTGTACTTAAATGTGGGCCTCCTGACAAGGTTCTACCCAGTGAGATGAGAGCAAAATAAGCCATCTTATTAAAGACACTATTATATTGGGTTTTCTATCATCCATTATCTCCTCCCCTGATATTTGAAGGAAATGATTGTTTCTGCCTCTAAGTAGATTGTTTCTGCCTCATGCTCTTAGGTGATGCTCATGTAAGAAGTCAAGTAATTTTATATACAAAGTCAGGAAGTAATATAAGATGAAATATGCCTACACTTTAACTCTTGCATAGCCTAAAATTCATAACCTAAAATCATAAATTTAATCATAACCTAAAAATCATCATAGTAAAATATTTTATGTTTCACTTTTCAGAATTGATTCAAAGTGCTTTCTCCACCATTTCTATTTTCAGGTTTTAATAAATAATTGTGATTCAAGTATTTGTAGAGCACCTACAGTTTGCTAAACACAGGTATCCATAAGCTAGGGAAAATGAACAAGAACTTACATTCCTGTGTTTGTACAGAAGGCACATAGTAAAAGATTAAAAAGAGCTTTAGATAGTATTAAGTATTATAAAAGAAATGAACAGCATCAATAGGAGAATGATTAAGGAAGAGAACTATTTTCAATAAGGTAGACAGGGAAAGGCCTCTTTGAGGAGGTAACACTTGAGACTGCCCAATAACTGCCAGGGAAAGTTCAAGTTGGGAAAAATAGAGGTATCTGATTAGGTAGATGAAAATAGATTGGTATGATAAAAACCAAGAGAAAAATGTCTCAAGGAAGGTGTGGCCAACTATTATAATTCTTTTCTCATCAAAAAGGTGACCAAAGGAAATCGATCATGTTAGAGCTAAAAGGTAAAGAACATAGAAGTATGGGTATCAGGAACCCAGAAGCATCTTAGAGAATGCATTTAAAAACATAACTGTTGTATAGACTATATTCTTCAAAATATTGCTCAGACATTGGTTTCATTTGTGAAACACTGTAGGTTGTGTTAAATCACTTTTTCCTCTTAACTATTTCTGTACTTCTTACATCTTTCTATTTTCTGTGTTTATCTTATGTATTTATTGCAATCTTTCCAGCTGTGAACTTCTGGAGAGAAATGACTTGGGACCACCAATAATAAAAGCACCAGTAAAGCACCAGTAATGTGATATACCAATACTGTGGACTCACCATAGTATCTTTGATAACTGTAGATGTCCAACCTTCAACAGTATAGAGCGGATGAACTTTGTCTCCATGAGGACAGTCAAAGCATCGCTCTGTGTCATACCCGTAATTCAACAGCATCCTGAGCATGACTTCATCTTTCAGAGAGTATTGCAGTGCTGATGGGAAATGTAAAGGGTTGACTCTGCAGAAGTAATTGACGTTGGCCCCATGGCGTAGCAGCATACTTATCAGTTCATAGTTGCCCATCCTTAGAGCTATCTGGAGGCAGTTAACTGGGTCTTGATTAGGCAGAGCTCCAGCATTTAGAAGCAGCTTGACTGAAGAGAGGTCAGCATTTGAAACAGCAAAGTACAAAGCTGACTTCCTGTGGTCATCATAGTGTTTGCGAATTCTCTGATCTAGCATGAAATTCACATCAAACCCAGCCTGGATGAGAAGTTCCAGGCATTGAGGGTGTGCTCCTGCTGCTGCACAGTGAACTGGACTGATGCCACTCCGCTTAATGGCAGCAAAATCCGTAATTGGAATTAAAATCCTTAGAGCTCTGAGAAAGAAGTTCAAAGCACATTTAAAAAGTGTTTAGTGAGATGCAGCATGAACCGTTTGTGACTGTTTTACGCTCACACTGGCTGGTATTATTATTAGGTGTTATTTAGGATCCTCAACTGGAAAAAAGCATAATTTCTGTACCCGAAGCTGAAATACGCAGTAAAGTTAAATGAAACTACTGTCTAGATTATACAACTCAGAATTAACCCAATTAGTTGAGATCTGAAGGTTCCCACATTTACTAAGGACCTCATGATAGTTTTATGTCTCTTTAGTGGCTACAAAGCATGTTGATTGTATTATTTTCTAGCTGGTCAAGAGTTTATTTTCAAAAGTGGTGTTGGAGTTATAGCATCAGAAATGAAGAATATACACTTTTCCAGAGGACCGGGCCAACAAAAAAAAAAGAGGTAGCTTTACCATCTCTATTATTTGCAGCAATGTAATTTGACTTACAACAAGTGGCCTCTGTCAGCTGCCACATGAATAGGTAGGTAGCCTGAATTCTTGGGGATGTTGGCATCAGCTCCATACGCTAGTAACAGAGTCACAGAGTCTGGATTTCCTCCTCTTGCAGCTTCAAGTAAGATGGAAGATGAATCAGAGGCCTGACCAAGAGCATTGGCTCCTAAAAGAAAGAATCTTGTTATAAATTTTTTTCACTGTATAGTTTAAGCATTCTTAATATATCACCATCAGCAAAAACCAGTTATTAAGTAGCCATTTTAGCAAAGCACTAAGAACCAAATAAATAAAATACATACCTCCTATCTTAGGCAGTTTTAATCTAGTTGGGAAGGGGAAAATGATGCAAGTGGTCTCTTTACGTTAATAGGTTGACTTTTAGAGTAAAAAGTTATTTGGAGCTTGAAACTTCCAGGAGAAAAAACTTTTATACAAAATGGTTTCATTTCCAGGTGCGCTTACAAAAGCCCTCTTAACTCACAATACACTTATCTATATAGGTTGGTGCTAACAATCCTGTTGAACTATGTCACCATACAATCTAATGATGATGTTCTGGTGGAAAGGACCTTTGTTCTGTTTTAACTTGGTCTAAGGAGCTATTCATAGTAAGACACTAATTGTTTTTCACTGAAATTGGTACAGGTATAGGCAAAATGAGTATAGGAATAGACAAAATGTCCTCTAGAAAATCTCAAGACAGAGGAGAGCAGAGAGGTGAAAGATAGAGAAGGTAGTTCTTTGGAGAAAGAATAGCATTTGAGTAGACTAAAAGAGGGATGTTCTGGGCACATTCATGTTCACAGAAAAAGATGTAGTGACTTTAGTACAGATTCCATAGTCATCAGAGTATAGTTGTTGCCCTATAACGCTATTAGTGTGCATTAAGAAATGTCTAAGTACCTTGAAATGAGGGGTCATTATGCAGTGGTTTTTTTATGTGCATAATTTCTATATTTACAATAGTGAAATTTTAGATGCTAATATTTTCATTTTTAAGACAGACTCCTTGAGGCCAAATAACTTCTCTGGAGACAAACAGCTAGTAAGCAAGGATGTTGGGGATTGTGTGCAGGTGAGTCTGACCAGGGCCTATTTCTCTGATGCTATGTTACTACTTGGGCCATGCAGGGTGGTAAAGGAATATGATTTGGAATCAGATGAATCTTGGTCTGCCATTTACTATCTTACTTTATGCAAATTACTTTGTAAGAGGATTACCTAAGGGAAATGCTCACTCACCCCACTGAGGTCAACCAATGTGATTTCTTTGAAGGCTTAAGGATTTAAAGTTTATGGCCTTCCCTCTTTATATTTTAATCAGTGGTCTACACCAAAGATTACTTTTTCTTCAAATATGAAGGATCCAGTGTTTACTTTTGTTTTGGCAGTTAATGACTTTAGACATATCTGTTATTAGTAATTTAAAGCATTTTATTTTAAAATGTTTTATGACCATTGGAAACTTGTCTTCCTTGTATGATTTAGGTAGGTCTAAGAAAACCTAAGGTGGTTCATAAAGATAAGAGCCCCTGCAGCCAGGGCCATGGTTGTTAAAGAAATGACTTCTGCACACAAATGGGAGAACACTAAAGAAGATAATTGTAGTATTAGAACATTATTAAATTTTGGTAAAAGTTTGTTTCTTTGCAAAAAAGTTTCATGTACTACATGGTTTAATCTGACATCATCAGTAATGGGAATCTCCTCAAAGACAATAAATTGGCAAATGTCAAAGTTATTTGAGACAGGGTCTCTGCCAGTTAAATCAGGATCTGAAATGGCCACAGCTACAGCATTGATAGCAGAAGAAGGTATGTTTTAGGGGACGTCCTGCAACTAGCACCATCTCAGACTCTCACTTTCCTCAAGTATAAAATGAGGATAATGCCTACACGGGGTTTAGTGTTTACAAGATTCCTTGAGGCAGCATAGGTAACCTAATGCCTGATCCTTAGGTAGTGCTCAGTAAATACAAATTGCTTTCCCTTTCTCTCAGAGTTTTGATTATTACTAGAAGGGAAGAACTGGGACTCAGAAGAAATCAGGAAGAATTTCCTAAGATTGGATTTCCTCATGACTTAGCTTTAGCAGAGACAACATGTGGAGGGATGTTACAGGGTTTTAAATTCCATGAATCTAGAAAAGAACAACACAAATATAACTACCATTCTTTTGGTATGGTTAGGGAACATTAAGTATAAGAATAACATGTATCCTAGTAAGTATAAGGAAATTATTTCACACTAGATAGGAATTCAATCTCTTACTATTTTAGGCTTTTCAGTAGGCAACATTAAGACATTAATCAAACATTTATATTACATAAAATGTTAGGTTATATATCAAAGCACTCCATGCAGAGGGGAGCACTTGGATTATGTTATCCCTCGGTAGTGTGCTGACTGTACAGAACATGCCTTTCTGTAGTAATATTTCCATGACTTCCGTATGTCCACTTTGGGCTGCAAGAGCAAGAGGAGTGAATCCGTAGGAGCTCTGTGGGTCAGGATGTGCCCCAGAAACCAGCAGGAGTTTTACCATGTCTTGTCTGCCCAGTTTGGCTGCTTCGTGGAGAGCTGTCCTCTCATTGGCACACCGCAGGTTGACATCTGCCCCGTGGCTGATCAGCAAGGCAGCCATGTCATAAGAGTCATGGCTGACAGCTGGGAAATCAGAAGTGAGGTAGATGTTATGTTCAACAGGGTTAAAACCAGAGTATCTTATGAACTAGTCTCCCTCAGACTTACCAAAGAGATCTTCTTAACCCTCCCTGCCCCCATGTGGAGGCATTTTGTGTCTAGGAAAGATTGTAAAATGAGACATATCAACTATTAATAATATTTTACATCAATAGGTAATTTACTTTCTTTTGGTAAGCCATGACCAATTATTCATTGTCTATTCACTGTGGCTAAAAAACATAAATAGGAAATTTTCATTTATCATCTTTATTTTCTCAAAAAAAAAAAAATGGGAGCTTAAGTACAGTTCTAGTACAGTTCTAGAATTGTACCTGCCTTAAATGATGAAAAATATAAAACCTGCAATAATTAGGAAATGACTTTTAATCTCACATTTTGTTAACCAAAATTTACTAATAATTGACTTTCCTGTATTTATGCTGTAATTCACATTTGGATGATAATCTTTAGTCCTCAAGATCCTAAAACACCTAAATTTTCCCTCCTCCCTATCCATTGCTATTATTGGCATTGACTGTGCGGTATTTTGTTGGGTGCCAGAGCACTAAATCAGTGTGAATTTTGCTCATAACCTTTTGTAATGTGTGGTAGGAAGTGCTCTGACTGCTCTAAGAATGGATGTATAGAGTGCCAAGGGTATTGGATCTTTTTCAGTTCATTGAATTTACACTTTCTTTCGAGAAACACATGTTCTTTCACACCAGAAATGCTCTGACTTATTTCTTTGATGAAATACTGCTCCATCTTGTTCTCTAGCATTCCTGTTATTCACATGCTTCTCTTGAATCATCTTTTTAGCTTTCTTATTTCTTTATCTTTCCTATTTTGCATTTCTTATCTTCCTCTTCTGAAGGTCTCTTAACTTTGTCTTCCAGCATTTGTTTTGCAATTTTTATTTCTGCTATTAGTTTTAATTTCCAAGAACATTTTGTTTTGCTCTTTGATTTTTTAGGGTAATATCTTGTTATATTATTAATTTCTTTAAAGAAATTAATGATAATTTCCCTTACAGTTTATTTTAGCTAAGTAACCTTTGTCTTCCAAGTTGCTTATCTTTCTTTGTTGAAGACTTTCCTCAAATGTCCTAGGCTATCTGCTCAGATTAAGAGTTGAGGACTTTGAGGACTGAAAAAACTGATTGGAAATTCTAATAGGTTGATGTGCCTAGGTCATTTGTTGGAGAACCCCCAATTTCTCTATGTTTAGTTCTTCTCCTGCTAATTAATTTCTCTAGAGAAGCCTCCTCCTGGAGGGTAAAGTTCTAGCTGCTAGCTTTCTAGGAGGCTGGTGATGGAGGAGGTCTGGGAGGCTTTAGTCTATGTTTGCTTAATTCTGTCAGTGTTTTTAATACAGTATACTTGCACTAGTCTAATATCCCCCAGTCCAGTAAGCCTGTTTTAAACTATCCAGACAACAATCCTCCAGAATTATGCTGGGGTGAGAGGAGTTCAGTAGGATAGAGTGGAAGAAGAGGTCTAGGATTTACTTGCTTCTTAGTAGTTTCCAACCAATTAACTTATTTCAGCTGCCTGTGAGGTAACTATTGTTATTACCAATAATGTCAACTTTTTTTGACAATCATGCTGGTTCTTGATTTTCCCCACTATCAATTTAAAATTTGACTTTCTTGTCCCTTACTACTCATCCCATATGGTCTTTAAAAATCATGCTGTTGTTTACCCTAGTGCTCTTTCCATTCTTTTGTATCTTACTCCTTTAAAACAATTAGTTTAATTAGAGTTTTAGAGAAGACTCAAGAGGGAGCGAAATTAGCTACTTTACTCATTCTGCTATCCTTGCCCAGTGATGGGCTGCTTTTTCTAACTCTGCGCCCCTGTTACAATTATTAAACCAGAATTAACTGGTTCATTTAAGACATCATGCAAAATGATCATGCAAATTCATTTAAGACATCATGCAAAATGAGCTACTCCCAATTTGGTGGAGATTTTACATCAGAGATTATACACACTTAGACACTATTCTGTGGGAAACTTCTTGAGGGTCAGGTACACATGTCTGGTCAGTTGGGGCCAGAGTGACAGTGTTGCAACTATGGGCAAATCGCTCACTTTGAAACCTTGGGCATGGAGGAGATTCAAAGCCATAAAATCTTCTGCAGACAATGTGTTTACCTGTAAGAAGAGGAGAACTGCCTTCAAAATTCTTGGGATTTGGATTGCAGCCATTGAGAAGAAGAAAACTGGCATTTTCTAAACGGCAGTTGCTGACAGCCAAAAAAAGTGGTGTTTCACCATCATGGGTAGTTTGCTCCCATACACTGGGTTTTGAAGCTGAAATAAAACCATTAGACCACACAGGTGATGATATAGAAATAAAATTTAAATTTATTCTCAGAAGCATTTAGGAGAGTTAAAAAGAGAGTTTACCTTTCAGGGTTATTTCCAAAATGTTCTTATTTAATTGTACTGCAGCCTTGTGCAAAGGAAGCCAGCCTATCCCATCTGCTTCATCAAAAGCAGAAGAGTACTTGGCCAATTGTGACAGTGTTTCTTCCTCACCTATTAACAAGTCAAATGAGAAGAGATTCACATTTTGCACACATACAAGGCAGCCATGCTACTTCTGAATTGCACCTTCAAGGTCAGTGCATAGGACAAATAAGAAATAAGCCTTTCATCTAGCATTCCATACCATCTGCACTGTGAATACCCATCTTCCTGTCACAGAAAAAAGGTCTGTTCACAGAGGAGCTTAGGAAATCTTTAGTAAGTTGTGTTAAATTATTTTCTCCCAGAACTTGGATAGTGAGAGGTACAGAAAATTCCAAAGAATAGAGTGATATATGAAGTTCATAACTGAGACACCAGTCATTTCACTCCTGCATATTTATCTAAAAGGAATAAAAAAATATTTTTTACAGAAAAAAAATTATTTTCTCCCAGAAAGGCTACATCAGACTCTTGACAATGAGCTGTGAATGCCCGGTGTTCAGCATGTGGGAGAATCTGCTTCTAGGCTTCTTGAACTTCAAGGGAAAATGCTGCCAGTTGTCACCATCTCATCTTACCACAGTTGAAAAGGATAGAATAGGAAGAGTACTTAACTGTCTTTATTGTTTCAACTATCTTCTTATAGTCAGCACTCAAGGGATGCAAGCTACATAGAAAAAAATAAACATATATGTAATTTAAAAACAGGCATTTTATATTAGAAAAAGAGGAAAGAGTCAAGACAATGGTAGTTAATTAGGGATGAACTCTCATTTTTGAGTCAGTGAAAAATTATTTTAAAAGGTAGTAAATCATGGTGTAAGTTTTAAAAATATTCATGGTCAGATTTTGTATCAGAAAATACTATCAGCAACTTTTTAAAGTAGCATTTTTATTTAAAAAATTTAAAAACAAAGTTTTAAACTTCAATTTATGAATGCTATCTTTAAATCTAGTAAATAGAATTGTAATCTTCCCGTCCTCTTTGATTATTCTTTGCACACAAATTGAAGAGAATAAATTTCCTCAGGCAGTCTGTCCTACTTAAAATTTGGTCAGTTAAATTCTCCTGAACATTTAAAACTTACAGATTTAACGTTTTAGTTTTCTGTGCCTGTTAAAAGATATTATTACACATTCAGTGGCTTAAAATAACACACTTATTATCTTGTAGTTCTGCATTTCAGAAGTACAAAATGGGTCTCACTGGGTTAAGAAAGGTGGTGTCAGGAGAGCATTCCTTCCAGGGCCCCTAAAGGAGAATCCATTTCTTTCAAGCTTCTACATACCTCCCACATTTCTTGGGTCATGGGCCCTTTCCCCCATCTTCAAAGCCATCAGTGTTAAGCCACATGCTTCTACACTGCCTTCTCTCAAGTTCTCTCACTTCTGCTTCTCTCTTCCATTTTAAGGACCACTGTAATTACATTGGGTCCTCTGGATAATCCTATCTTAATGATAACTGATTAACAACCTTAATGCAATCTTCATCCTTAATTCTCCATTGCCACACAAGGTTACATAGTCACAATTCTGGGGATTGGGACATGGGCATCTTTTTCCAATAACTCATGGGAGTTTTCTGGGTGCATTTTTCCACCTGTCATAAGTATATTCACGTTTCCTAATTCCTTCAAATCCCTGACTAAATCAGTAAGTCTTTCTAAGTATCATATCATTCTTATAACAATAAATAAAATTGATCTTCAATTTGTTTGAACATTTGTTGAACATTTCAATTTGTTTGCATACTCATCATGCCTTTCAACCTAAAATCATAACTTCAACATAATTAGTTATGAACTTAAAATTTTGAACCACAAATTTAATGAGCCTATAAACCCAATTTCTTATAAAACCTTAACTAATTAAAGATTATTTTAATTATTGTTCCTAAAGTTAACACAAAAGTGTAGAAGCAGCATGTTAAAGAGCATAGCCTCTCAAGCCAGGTTGCCTGGGTCTTTGTTGACCAGCTCTGGGCCCTTGGGTAAGTCACTTAACTTCTGTGTAGCTTAGTCTCCTCATTTCTAAGTAGGGTTAATAATAGTACTCTCCAAGTATAGAGGTAATGAGAATTAGAATTTAAATGGATTAATATTTATGAAATACTTAAAACAGTGTGGCACACAGTGATCACTTCATGAGTTTGTTCCTTAAAAAATATAAGTCTGCTGTACTTCATTATCTCTATATTTACTTACAAAATCTCTTGGGGCTAAAACACATTTATCCAGCTTTACCTCTAGCAAGCAAATAAAGTTCACCATCCCAAACAACACCTTTAACACCCCAGAAAAAAAATAGCTGCTCAGGAGGCTGAGCTTGCACATCACCCAGAGAACATTTGATGAGGTGCACTTGGTTGCAGGCTGCCCGTATTCAGGGTGAGCCTCTGACATCATAACAGCTCAGAATCCACACCCTTCAGAAAGGTTTACTGTCTCCCAAGTTTTAGTTTATATTACTCCTCCTTTTGATTTGAGTAAAGACTGGATCCCACACAGTTAATCCACTAAGGATGAAGATAACTATTTATGTCTCTTGGTTGGAATTATGCATTTCCTTAACTCCCCAAAAGATAGGATACTTTAGAGTTTTCTAGCCCTTCATACCCTCTTGTATTTTTCCTTTCTGATTTCTAGCCTGCATCTCTTCACCCAAATTTGCTGCTAACTTCCTTCAACTATTTTGTTTATTGCCTAAATAAATTCTGAATTATTTCTAAATTTTACTGTCTGATCAGGCATCTTTCTTATAGATATTCAAATGACAGCTCCTTGGATTCTGATCCTCCTATTTTTGTCACAGCATTAGAGCAGTGCTATTGATAATAAGGAAACTATTACCTCTCATTTTCAGATGTCTGCTGTGTAGCTTCTGTCTTGTAAATATCCTGTAAACTCTGTTGAATGATGAGCTGGGTATCAAAGTCATTATCTGTGTCATCATCACTGGTATAATTATCCATGTGAAATGCAGACAGCTTTACTTTAAAATCAGAATGAATTAAAAATATTTTTCCACTCGTGAAAATAGATTATCAAATGCTTAAAATTATAAATGAAATTCAGAAAAATACAAAATTAATAGCATTGATAAATGATACAAATGCAAAATTTAGGAAATAAAATATTCATTTAAAATTGTTTTCACAAACTTAAAAGTGTTCTAAACTGTCACACATTCAACATTAATTAGAAGTTGACATGAATAGTCATGAATAGTCAATATTCACAAAAAAATTATCTTTCATATAAAACTTACATCAGTGACATTTTAACTACAGAGTATTCATAGTGATCTACTTTAGATTTGGTTTATGAGTTTTTCTCTGTAAATATAGCTCACCCCAAGGAATATCTTTCTTACCCACAATGAGTATTATGTTGAAAATATTTATTTAATACTATAGATATACATGTTATAGGAATAAATGTACTCTCATAATACAACATATAACAGGAATAGTGGTAGTAAAAATCAATATATTTTATTAGGCATATTTCAATGGATCTAAAAGAACATTTACATTTTAACATAGAGTAGGTTTGAGCACATACTAAAGACTTTTTACCTTTGTTATATCCTTTAGGACAGCACTGAAGTTTTCACTGTTAGAAATTAGCACATCAGAGTTTCACTTATATTTAGGATCTCCACTCGCCTGCAGTGACCATTCCATTAATAGCTTTACTATAAATACTTCATCATAAGACAGTCTGGCATATACTCCTTGTTTTTAACATGTGGTTTAGCTCTATTTGGAAACATGATCTCTCTTCTTCATTGCTATAGTCATTAAATATGAGGGATTAAATATTTTATCCCTGGCATAAAATGCTTTTTGCATGGTGGTGGTAAAGGGAAGTGAATTCATTCTCCTAAGGCTCATGTACTGCAAATCAGAATCAGTTTTCCACTTGAGAAGGCACACATTTTGCTCTGGGCAAATTATCAAAAGAGACTGTCCTAATGATCCTGTTTCATTGGGTAGCTGCACCTACATTTTCTTTGGGTTACAGAAGTGTACCCTTAAGTGTCCTGGGAATCCTAAGGAAGATATTAACTCCACACAAGATCATTGAATTTTGACTGAAATTTTCTTTTATTGAAATGTCTTGAATGAATGCACACCAAATAATATTACCTATTAAAAATAATGAAGAGACTACGTGGCAATTCCAGTTACTACCTTTATATGTCAGCTTCACTGCTTTTGCGTTTTCTTTCCTTATTACGGAGGTAGGATGAGAAATGGAACTGATTTTTTTTTTTTTGGAACTGATGTTTTAGTAGTATTAAGTAGGAAGTTCTGAGTTTGTTTTAATATTTTCCTTATTTACAGTTTATTTATTTGTGTATGTGACATGTTTGTATATAATCACTTTGATATGTAAATGGAAAGTAAACTATTACAGAAGTAAAGAAATGACTTAACACTTGTAAAAAGAGATGATTTCTAATATTAGTTCAATTTAATTCAGTCTCCCCAAATTTGTCTTTTATATCAAACCATAAAATGGAGCTATATAAAAGTTTCAGATATTTTTATATGCTTCAAAGAAACATTTCTTTTCATACTTTCCTTCCACAGTTGTCTGACTATGACGCCAAGAGTCCACCTGGAAGGCAATTCCAATCAAGAAGAATATGTTAGGGAGAGAAAAATGCAAAAACCATTCACAAAGACCGTTTAAAAGAATGCCATGAAGATACTTGGTTTTATAATATATGTATTTGGAAATAAGTGTAGACTAAATATATGTGTACCTATACATATATATATATTTTTCTTCTTTCAGATATTTTCTTAAAGTTGATCAATTTAGTCATCCAATTGACAAAGCAAAGCAACCCCACGCTTGATCCAGTGTTGAACAGGGTGATTTGTTTTTAACAACATGGCAATGACAAAATTAGTAGAATGTCCTGTAGTAGAAAGAGTTCCTTTACGTTCACTTGTCTTGTAGAGAGGACAGACATAAGTGTCCGACTTCATAATCTCAGACTTTTTAGCTTGGAAAAAAAGAAACATATCCTCTTAATAAAGGGGAAATAATCACTGGTACAAAAAAAAAACAACAACTTTTTCTTGCAATAAAATGACCACTATGAAATCTAAGATAATGATTGTGATATTGATGATTTTAAAGTTGTTTTTTAATAATTGATATATAATTATAATTGTGAACAAAGCAAATGATTTCATATGGCACATGCTTCTAGTTCAGAGGACAGGAATTGATTTTAAAGTCCCAATCACTTAGCAAGCATAAAAACACACAGGATGACTTGGTAGAGAAGAAGTAAGAGTAGGAAAAGGTAGGGAAGAAAGAATAAAAATTGGCATAGGGAAGACACAAAATCAAGGTAATGGAGGAGATGCAAAAAAGAGAAACACAGCTGTTTAGAGTTCTAATGTGAGAAACCCATAATTTAGAAGAAGCTAGAGCTACTATTTGTTTTCAGCAGAAGTTATTGTTTGCTTATTACTAAGAAAAACACACTAACTCTTACCTACTCACAAAAAGAATCTATGTAAAATCCTTGAAATGCCAGATAGGAGATATCAGGAGTCTATCTAAACTAAAGTCATAATTCTCACAGTTGTAACTGAGCAGTATGAATAATGAAAATAATCAGTGGGTTGAGTGGCAATTGTGGATGACTTGTAAAATGTTTTCATTGATAGCTAATTGAAATTAAAAAAAAAAAAGATATAACAAAAGAATGAGTCTCATTTGTTCAGACTTGTGGAGAAATGATGAATGACAGGAGGGAAGGAGCAAAGTAGCTTCCTCAAGGGGGCAAATTGGCCTCCACCCCATTTAGCTTGAAACATATATGACTTCGGGACTCCCTGGTGGCTCAGCGGTTGAGCGCGGGGTTGCGAAGCTGCCCACAGCCTCTGCAACGCTGGTTCAATCCCCGGCGGCTGGGCAAGGGTCCCACATGGCACACAGATCTCTCCTGCCGCCCGCTGCTCCCCGCAGCAGTGTACTTCATCACTTTGCCTGTTCTACCCTCCACTCTGGCTCTGGTGAATTCTTTCACCCTCCTGCGCCTTTGACTGTACCCAGTGCTTGTATAAATAAATAAATAAATAAATCTTTAAAAATAAATCAATAAAAATCAATACTATGTATTTGAAAAAAAAAAAAAAAAGCAACATATATGCCTTCAGGCACCTGCCTGGCTTCTAAACCTCTGGCTTTTTTTACAGCCAGAAAACTCTAGTTGCTAGCTGGATAAGCCTATTTGTGTCTCTGACAGGTGTGCAAAGACTTTCAAAATCAAGCTATTTGGTGGGGAATGCCAGACTTTGGAAAAGTATGGGGGAGGGCCAAGAAAATATATGTTCCATGAACAAGAGTGAAAAGAATTAGAATGATATTCCCAAAATAATATAGATGCAACACAAAAAAAGGGGGAAAATACATTCTAATGTATACATTGAATCATTATTTATTGCAGTTGAACAAAATCCTAATAGATTGGAGAGGAGAATTATTTAGGGGAGTGGTAAAAAAATCATTATCCCACCTAAAATATTAAGAAGTTATTTTAGGGCCTCCCTGGTGGCGCAGCGGTTGAGCGCTGGGTTGCGAGGCTGCCCGCGGCCTCTGCGTTGCCGGTTCGATCCCCGGCTGCTCCCCGGCCACCGGAGGAGGGTCCTACGTGGCGCACAGACCCCTCCTGCCACCCGCTGCTCCCCTCAGCAGTGTCCTTCGGTCCTTCTGCCTGCTCTGCTCCCCACTCTGGCTCGCTCTGCTCCCCACTCTGGCTCTGGTGAATTCTCTCACCCTCCCGCGCTTCTGACTGTGCCCAGTGCATGTATAAACAAACAAACAAACAAACAAACAAATAAATAAATAACATGCCTCTATTAAAAAAAAAAAGTTATTTTAGCAGTACACTTACTTGGTTTTATCCATATGATGGGCATCAAGTCAAACAGAAGTTTGGGATGTTGTTCAGCAAGCAATCCACTGTTAAGAGAAATTGACAGTTTATTAGATATTACAAGTTATTTGCTTCTCAGAAATTGCTACTTTGATGTTGATTTTTAATACGAGAGAGAACTAGACATATATATGCAATGAAATGTAAAATACAACAAAAACTGAAGAAGAAGTGATGAAGATTTGAGAGAAATGAAAGAAAATTTTGGAAAGGCAACCGTACAATGGACAAACATCAGGATGCCACCCATGAGATGGACACTGTCCTATCACATTGGACCCACACAATGGCTTGTCCTTTTCCCTATTTCTGTTTCATAGATGAAGACTGGAGGTTCAGAGATGTAGATGACTTTTCTCACAGTCACACAGCTCTTACTTTCCAGCATTAGGTTTCAAACAAATCTGTCTTTCTAGAAAATGTTTTTTCTTTTCCCTTTGCACCGTTGTTTGAAAGGAGGGAAGGAAGTGAGGAAATGATGAATCCATATATAAGGAAAAAATGTCAATATGAAGTAGCTATCAATGAAAAATTCAAGTAGCTATCAATGAAAACATTTTATAAGTCACCCACAATCGCCAATCAAGCCATTGATCACTTTCCTGATGAAAAAGAAGAGAAATTATCAAACAAACTGTGTACAGTTGAGTCTCCTGATTGCCCTGTTTTGGAATTATCTCTGCAAAAGCAGCTTGCTCTGTCTGAAGTGATTTTCCCAGTCCAAGCCTTTAATGCTCTTTAGGGGACAAAGCCTAACCCTGACTCTGAAAATAGAGGATTATGTATATTAATGGATTGTTAAAGAATAGGGCTCCAAGGAAAATAGTCTCTCTCCTTCCCTCTTTTTAAAAAAAAAATATTTATTTTTTATATCATTGTTCATTTTTAAACAATATTTGCTTCCCCCCTGCCTCGTTTCCCTCTTATCCCCATATACTTTAACAGGAATAGCACTGCTTAGTTTCCTGAGCTGGAAATCCAATATTTAATCTAAATAATATGTCCTCCAAGGTGGGAAACGGGAACTTTCCTATAACTATAAACTGCTTAAAAGTGAGATGCTCCTAGGAAAGTGAACTTAAAAAAAATAGAAGCAGGCAAATAATTTAAACTAACTTTCTACTGGTAAGATCATTGAAATATCAACTAATGTTCACAACCTAAAAGTACCCATCAATTACTCCAATCTGAGTAATGATTTATAATGAGAATTCTGATATTATTACTTGCTATATTTCCCAAAAAAGGCCTTTTGGTAGAAAAAAAAAAGGTAATTAGATAATTTATTACTATGAGTCAGCTACAGATAAAGAGGTCTTTGCAGTTGAAACTACTGACCTTGTTCTGTCCCAGCGTGCTCCATCAAGATATAATCCGTGGATATAAACACCATCTTCTGGTGCTTCCTCAGATGTATCAGAAGGAATAACCTGAAGACAGAGGCACACACTAGTAATGATCTTTCTGGACAACTTTGTCTCATAAAGGAACTATTAACTAGATCTTCAGAAAACACTCATGGAAACTTCACTATATACTAACTTGTTAACTCTAACTTTTTTTCACTAAAAAGTAAAACTGTATAATCTAGTTCTTTTTGAAGCATTTTATCAGGTGTTATTACATCTCACATTAT